GGGGGGGGGTGAAGAGACGGTTACCCACACCGAGTTCCAGCCGCGCTGCCACCGCCCGCGCGCACGTGCTGCAGCTTCCCGCGGCAGCGACGCGAGCAGAAGAGCCGCCGTTCGCGCCACGCCCTTGCGCATGCGCGCGCGGAAGCCCGGCCGAGCCACGCCGCTGCTGGCTGTCAATCACGAGGGGCGTGTGGCAGGGGCTGTGGCAGCCGCACTGCTCTGTTCTCATGATGAGGAGAGGTCAACTAGAATTGCCATGATTAGATGACCCCCTGAGGTCTCTTCCAGCCCAAATCATCTATCCTTGTGTGATTTGTGTTGTGGATGTTTATATGAAAAATACGGTAGTTTTTTACTGCACCAGAACAACCACTGCTAATAGACATGTTCCTCTGGGGGATACAGGCAGCCGCACTGCTCTGTTCTCATGATGAGGAGAGGTCAACTAGAATTGCCATGATTAGATGACCCCCTGAGGTCTCTTCCAGCCCAAATCATCTATCCTTGTGTGATTTGTGTTGTGGATGTTTATATGAAAAATACGGTAGTTTTTTACTGCACCAGAACAACCACTGCTAATAGACATGTTCCTCTGGGGGATACAACAGATTTTTTTTGTTTTTTCTTTAGACCCTTCTGGTATGTTATGTTATCATCATCCTTACTTCTGGCAAGGGTGCTGCCTTCAGAGCTGGGCACCCAGCAAACAACCACCACTCCCCAGCTGCCCAGGTCTAAAAGTAGCACAGAAATAAGGAAGGCAATATCATACCGCAACCCTCCCTAAAATAACCTTGCAATCTCCCCTGCAATACCATTTCCGGTCAGGACTTCCAATTTGAAAAACATTAGTGTCCACCATGAAATTTGTATAGTAAAGGGTAAATGCTCACAAAAGACCAGATTTCATGGTGGGAAACAAGATTTCACTGTCCTTAAGGCATTTTTCATGGCTGTGAATTTGATATAGCTCTAACCAACCATAATACAAAACTGTGCTTCATGTAACAAATACAGCTGTGCCAATTTTTAACCATATCAGTTTGCTGGTGAATTGTATCCAGCTCCTCTTCCTTTTGATTGTAAGCATTTCAGGAAAGGAATTATTTATTTTCTATGATTGTGTAGGATGCTGTACAAGAGAGCTCTAACATAACATAAATATTAACTGCAACCACCTTATTATAAGTTTCCATCACCACCTATGTTCTTATCCAATTTCTCTTTTCTTTAAAAAAAACAATATAAAGATTCACACCTCAGAAACTCATTGCTATCTTGTCATACTTAAGCTGTCAGATTCCTACATTCAAAGTGTCTTGTGCATTCTTGTTCAGAAAAATATGAATGTATGTTGCTCCTATCTCTAATTTATCTCATACTGTGAAATAATTTTTTTATAGACTTAGTTGATTTACAGTTGTGCTGCTTTGTTACTGTTAGGGATGTGAAGGTTTAACCAGTTAACTAGTAAGTCTCACCTTTAACTGGTGAGGCTTACTGGTTAACTGGTGGGGGCTGGAGCAGCCCCCCGCCTGCCATGGGTAGGGGGCTGCTCTAGCCCTGTGGGGGAGGTTTACAGTGGACAGGAACTGCTCGGGCCAGGCTGAAGCAGTTCCTGTCTGCAGTGGGAGAGGCCGCTCCAGCCCAGCAGTGGGTGAGGGGACCAGTGGACACCCCTGGTTAACTGTTTAAACAATGTCTACGTCTAGATTGGCATGATTTTCCGGAAATGCTTATAATGGAAAAGTTTTCTGTTAAAAGCATTTTCGGAACAGAGTGTCTGGATTGCCACGGACGCTTTTCTGCAAAAGCACTTTTTGCGGAAAAGTGTCCGTGCCAATCTAGACGTGCTTTTCCGCAAAAAAGCCATTTTCGCGATCGGGGCTTTTTTGCGGAAAACAAATCTGAGCTGTATACGCTGGCCCTTTTGCGCAAAAGCTTTGCACAAAAGAGAAGCTGATTTTCCAGAAAAACTGGCCAGTCTAGATACAGCCAATATGTTTAACATAGGCATGAGCAATAATTATTGATGGGGGGCCACTCCAAGGTTTTGGAAAGTGGTTGAGGGCCGCACTCTTCTATGTATGATGTTACTGGAGGAGATGTGGGTCTGAGATGGAGGATGGGTGCGAGAGGAGCTAGAGGTAAGGGATTGGGATGCAGGAGGGAGACTGCAGTCTGGGAGGGAGTTTGGGTGAAGGAGGTGGTTGTGACCTAGGGCAGGGGACTGGAGTGCAGAGGTTTGAGATGTGACCTAGGGTCGGAGAGTATTGTGATCTGGGGCAGGAGACTGGGGTGCACCTTGCTATGAACCTCGTAATTATTATTGTGCAGATTATTACTGCAAGTAATGGCACGATCTCTGAATGTTATCAATAGTTTCTGTATGCTGGAAAATAATATTCACTTTCCAAAAGTTTGGTTTTATTCCACATCTGTGGAAACATATTTATGTACTGGTAACCTGAACTTCATTACTTACACAGGGAAAAGTACTTTTAAAGGGAAAGAAAACTCCCTTTAAAGGGATATAAGGGTATCTTTAAAGGGAAGGAACAGGAAATTCACAAAGAACATTTGCCACTGAGGCTCAGTGCTGGATGTATGTCAAGCTATCATTCTGTGAATTGTTTCCACCAGAGTTTGGGAATCTCACTACTGAAAATCTATTCACTTCATCTTGCACATTACTGTGAACTAAAGTGCTGCATAGCAGGAAGAGACAATTAGTGGCCCTGCCTACTTGCATGATAATTCCATCCCAATGTATTTTCCAGCTCCACAATTATTCTCCACTGATTAGTTGCTAACTGGCATTGCAAATTTCCACAGGATGATGGCTACTCATTTCTTCACAGGCAGTGCAGCTCTTCATTCTGGTGCTTCTACACTTGAGGGCTGGGGCAAGCTCAGCACACAGATTCAAGAACATACCCTTATGCATCCAGAAGTTTTGCAACCACTTTTTGTCATCTCAAGCCTTCATTACAGGTGATAGTACCAGTAATTGCTCATTTCTCAAGCAAAAAACCTGCATTCTGCCATCTGCAGCAGTCCTATGAATACCATCAACAACCCTGAATTGGTTCTTGCTATGTCCTAAAGCAATTTGTCCTCCAAGTTATCATCATGCTGATTCTGTTCTTGTGGCACTGCAAATACTGGAGGATCATGTGTCTTGTTTTTGCAACATTCATGACAACAGTGTAGAGCAAGCTCTCTGCTGTTATCAGATGGTAAACAGCAATGAGGGCCAAACACATGTGTGGGACTTTTTAAAAAGGCACAAAAATTAATTAATATATCTAATATTATAGGATGGAGATAGTTGCATGCTTCAAAGCTAACCCCTTGCCCCCAGTCATACCTGGGCAACACATTTCTTCCTTACTTGCATTGCCTAAATCTTCCAAAAGACAGAACGTTGGATAACAGCGGGTTGCGCACTTTGATACCTAACCACAGTGCACCACATTGTGCACAGATACAAGCTCTGATGGATAGGAGGAGTGCTGGCCAGCACCAGGTGACTACAGGGTTAAACTCAGGTAGCTAGGGGGTGTTGGCAGAAAACCAATGGGAAAGATTGTTGAAATTTAAATTGAATATAGATACCTGGCTGCTGTTCCTTTGTGTGAGTTCTAAGTTAAAGCTGGAGGAAGCAAGATGAAGTAATCAGTACGGGTTGTGAGTAAAGAGAGAGAGATGCATGTTTAGTCACAATCAGGGTAATTTTCTTTGTTTTGTTTGGTTAACCTTCTCTATGTAAAATCCATGTGCCTTCCTCCCTTCCCCTCCCCCCCCCCACTATACCTAAGATGTGCCAGAAATACCATTTTTTTCTTTGTGTTTTAATCTGCTCTTTTCTCAGTTGCTCTGTAACACCCAGCAATCAAGTATATCTTTTTGTTTTGTTAATAAAAATCACCTTTTTGAGGCGATTATTTGATTCTTATGTCCTAAAAAAATAATAGGAGGTCTGTGTGTGCATCTGCCTAGACTGAGAGGCCAGCTATCAGAGAGAGAGTTTGTTTTCTGTGTTTGTAGTTTCTTTTTTCAAGCTCTCTTGTGGCAAAAGAGCTTGGAGTACGCCTTGAGAAGTTTAAGTGTTTCTTCCCTGTTTTTCACAGTTTTTCTTAATTCACTTGATGGTGGCAGCCTATCTCCCAAGGCCAGGGAATCTGTAACCTTGGGAAGTTTTTTTTAAACAGAAGCCTACAGAGGCAAGGAATATTTAAAGTCTTTTGTGGGCCCTCACCTTCTGCACTTGGAGTGCCAGAGTGGAGAACAGCCTTGACACAAGCACTCCTAGGCTATGTCTAGACTGCAAGCCTCTTTCGAAAGAGGCTCTTTCGAAAGATACTTTCGAAAGAGCCTCTTTCAAAAGAGCGCGTCTAGACTGCACGCGGAACTTTCGAAAAAGCAAGCCGCTTTTTCGAAAGAAAGCACCCAGTGAGTCTGGATGCTCTCTTTCTAAAAAGCCTGTTTGCTTTCAAGAACGCCTTCTTTCGAAAGAGCACTTTCGAAAGAAGGCGTTCTTCCTCGTGGAATTAGGTTTACCACCGTCGAAAGAAAAGCTGCATTATTTCGATTTAATTTCGAAAGAACGCAGCTGCAGTCTAGATGCAGGTGAAGTTTTTTCGAAAAAAGGCTACTTTTTCGAGAAAAACCCTGAGTCTGGACACAGCCCTAGTGAGTATGTGCAGCACCGCTACAAGGAGCCAATATGAGCATGCACAAGCAATATATTATTTATAGTGACTTTATGCCTATGTAACTTGAGTCTAAGTATGTTGTATAGACAGGGACTTCCATTTTTTATCTAGCTGTCACACTTTCACCGACCCAAAAAAGTAACAGATTGTTTATCATAAATAACTAACATATATTGTAAGAGAGGATCCAAAAAAGAAATAATTCACAAGATATTAACATATTGTAAGAGATGACCCCCAAAAGTGTGAGGGAGGAGTCAGTGGGTAAGAGTGTTGTAATAAGCCATAAATCTGGTGTTTTTATTAAATCCGTGATTTTACTGTTTAACAATTATGTGTTTAAGCTTCCAAGCTTACTTTTTGAGGGTGCACTCCCCCTTTTTTTATTCCATGACTGCAGGGGTGTTAACAAGACATATCACCATGAATAGCCTCTTATAGTATGCATTAATTAACTTGCTAAGCAGTTTATTCCATATTTAGTTCTGACACTGAATATCTTTCCCAGACTTAAGAGCTCTCTGTAGAAGTTGGTTCAATAAAAGGTATTACCTCATTCCTTTGTGTCCTTACCATCCTGGGACCCATACACCTAAACAACTGCAAACAAAAGATAAGAAAGACATTTTCTCAGAACCAGATAGCCAAAGAAGGAGGGGGAGCAAGCATGAGTGAAGATGAGACGAGCATCAGATGGATCAACCTACAAAAGCCCTGTTCCCCCCTGTGTTCAATCTAGCTGGCCACTAGATTGATACAGACTCTGGACTGGTAACTATGACATTGTCTGGTGAAACTTTGTGTGTATGTTGTTTGTGTGTATGAGTGATTGAAAAGCATATGCAACTGTTGTATTCTCAATGAATGCGGCGTACTGCCTTTTCCCCTGTAAAAGATCTCGTGTGCTTCATTTAAGCAGACATCAATCCCCGCTCATGCTGTTTGCCTGCTGCCCCCTGCCTCCTCTGTGGAGACGGTGCTGAGGGGGAACTGGCTTTTAAGCCAGCTCCCCCCAGAACTGGCTCATGCTCCCGCCCTTGCTGCCTTTTTCTGACAGAGGCGGCAACGGGGAAGGGGAGGAAGGAGCAAGTAGTCGAGTTCCTACTCAACTACGTTGTGACGGACCGCCTCCTCCCCCCATGCTTTTGGAAATGGACTTATGGACATGAATATACATATCTCAAAAGTGTTTTGAGAGGATCATTTTGTGTAACCCATCAATCTTCATGGCACGATCCACTGGTTCTCTTTATCGTACGCTGTTGTATGTATCATTTGTGTGTATAAAATTAGACACAGGGAGTGTGGAATAATTTGTGAGTTTCAAATGTATGAATGAGAGACATGGAGGGTGTTACCCTCAACTGTTAAATTATCTCTTTTGTCCTTCAGCCTGAGCAATGGTTGGTAGGGGGAGTGGCCTCAACTCCTTAACAAAAGGAATAGGAAAGCAGAGGCCCTGGTCTTTCGGCTGGGCTGCACCTGAAGGAAGGAGCCTGAGACCCCAGGATGGGGAAGAGAGCCCTGGTTTAGACTGGCAGCTGGGAAAGAGGGTTTAGGGGGAGTTTAAGTTTGCACTGAGGTTTCAATGTAGAATTAGTCAAGCGGGTTTGTTTCTTTTCATTTGTAACCTATTTGCTCTGCCTACTTTCACTTATTACTACTTAAATCCTACTGCTTCAATTTAATAGAACCATTTTTATTTTCTATCAAACCCAGTGTAAGCGATTGTTACCTGGGGGGGGCAACCAGTGTGCACATTCCCCCTTTCATTGTTAAAGGGGGCTTACCTAATTCTTTGGGGTTTGATCCCATCTGGGGAGTGCTCTCTCAGGAGGCTGGGCCCTAAACTACACTCTTTTTGGACCTGAAGTGGTTCAGTGTCTGTACTGCTTCTCAGTGGGGGCAGGGACCTCAGCTCGGAGAGACCAGCGGAGCTGGCCCAGCAGGACCAGGCAGTGAGGAACCCCAGAGAGCGGGAAGGCAAGTGGCAGTGGCCTTGTCAGTACCCCGGGAGGCACCCCTGAAGGGTCATATATGACCTCACCCCGTCACATATGTGATGAGCATTTGCTTATCATGTAGTCGACTAGCTGCTTACATCCCTAGTGTAGAGTGTATATTTTACCTGCTGTCCTAAGCTGTGATTCAGCAAAGCACTTAAGAATGGGTTGGTTGGATCAGTCTAAATGAAAAATTCCAGAAGACTCTTGTAGCGGGGAAGCTGCCCCACTCTGGATGAGAAGGGGTTAGAGAAAGTTGGCGGGAGCCTACACAGAGCCCTGGCCAATCAGGGAAGGGCTTAGAAGGAGTCAACGAGAAGGTGGCTTGCCAAGGCAGCCCTGGTTATAAGGAGCTGCTCAGCAGAGTGGAGGGCAGTTGGTTCATGACCAGGGAGGGTGCAGGACCAGTTTGCAAGAGGACGCACCTCAGAGACAGCGATGATGTGCAAACTCAGGGGAGATAGAGACTCTAGCCTGATACCTGCTAGGCTGCAGCCACAAGGGACAGGGAGGTGCAGGGGTTGCAGGAAAAGTGGCTGAGGGAACCCAAAGCAATAGACTGGGAGAGAAGGCCAGGACAAGACTGCCAACAGAAAGACACTGGACTGGGACCCAGAGTAGTGGATGTGCCTGGGTCCCCCCACTTGCCTCACACCTACCCACATTGAAGAGTGGCCTGGATGACTAGGGCTTGCCCCTGAAGTGACAGACTAGACATTGGGGCTGTAATTGGCCACTGTGGCAGGTGTACTTACTGAGGATTGCTGATACCCCCAGAAGCAGGTCGAGGACCAGTATGGCCCTAAAGAAAACACTGCTCCTAGGAGCAATGCAGGTCCAAAATCAAAGCATGGTGAGATTGCAGAGTGATGACTGGCTGTCGCTGAGGCATGAGTCGTCCCTGGTCCTTGCATCCCCATCTGCAGTCAGAGGAGACTCTCAGACTGCAGGTAGAACAAAAGGTTGACAGGGACACAGCGCAGAACAGACTTGTCAGCACGGTAGTCAATACAGTCCATTGAGGGGGATCCAGAGCTAGGGTCCTAACCCTCTCCCTGCACCCCAGACCAGCCGAGACTAACCCTCACACCTAGCAGCCTGGTCCTAGTCCCTTCTCTGGCCTATGTCCTGCCCAGGCTAAAGGTGTCACCTGGCTTCACTCACTTCTGGGCTCAGGTTACGAAGGGTATCGGCCATTGTGTATGTGCAAAGGCTAGGGTACCCACCCTCAGTGAGAGTTGCACCTAAAATTCTCTAAATATTGGTGCAGTACCCTGGAAAACTGAAGCACACACACACACACACAGAGTTACTATAGGACAACAGAACTCACATGCAACATAACAAGGAGAATGAAATCCCCATTTAAATTCCCATCTCTTCATATGGGCAAGCGAGTTGCCCTTCTAAGGATTGAGCTAATTCCTAGTGTGCCCAGCAGGAGGGGTTGTGGTGCATCAGGTACATCTCATTACATCTCTAAAAAAACATAAAGGGTCTATTACACATGAATAAAACGTGAGATCCGTGCAGCAGTATTTTAGAGCTTAGATGGTATGCCAAGCTACTATGATAAAACATAACACTTTTATTTGAAAGAAACAGAACCATCAAATATTTAAATTAATTTCATAAGTACTTTAAGATAAAAGTGTTAGTACTGAGACATTAGAAAATGTGTGCAATAAACACCATTAAAATACACTTAAAACAATTCTGTATCACTAAATCTCCTGTGTTTCATTAATCTTCATGGATTCTTTGACCGCAGAGGCCCTTTAACTTTCAGTTTATCACTCTTCTCCTTTTTCAGCTTTAATAAAGAAAAACATAGCAATGATTCAAGAACTAACATGTCAACAAACAATGCAGTACTAATTAAAATACTATTTTATAATAGACATTTTTGTACTTACTAGGGATGTAAAAGAGGAGTCAAGTAGTTGACTACCCAGTAAGCCTAGTCGAGTCGACTGCTCGCATTTCCCCCCCACCCTCTAAAAGCTGCCTCTAAAATAGAGGCAGCAAAGGTGGGGAAGCAGGAGCCGGTCCTGGGCAGGGGAGCCGGCTTAAAAGGCAGAGGTGCAGAGGGGGTAGTGAGCACTCCCCCCTTATCAACTAATCAAGTAGTTGATGGAAATTCCACAGTTTAACATCCCTAGTACTTACCTGGCCCCAACACCACAAAACATCACAAATATGAGTTTATCCTCACACCCATTAGATGAAGAGAAAATCTATTAACACTATTTTATAGGTGGAACAGAGACCAAAAGACTAACATGCTCAAAGTCACAAAGAAAGCCTCTCTTGAGTTCTCGGTGCTTTACCTGTCTACCATTTTTACTGTGGATTTTTACTCATTTCACTGCAATTTCAGTGTGGTAATGCCTTCAATTATTTTGCATGTATATACCATGGCTTTGGGAGACAGCAATTGGTCTATCACACTCACTGGAGTGTGACATACAGGTACATTAAACATTATAACATCAGGTACATAACAGGCTTTATTAAAACTAGTTAAGTAAAATGTTGTGTGACAGATGAGCTGGTAAATGGGTAGAATTCACTTCCAGATAAAGTGGTGGAGTTAAGTAATACAGGTTGAACTTCTCTACTGTAGCAACCTCAGGACTTGACCGGTGCTGAACCAGAGAATTTGCTGAACCACAGGAAGTCAATATTGTCTAGCTGCATTTCCAAAATTTCCATTACTTACTAGGATGTTAGAAGATATTTAGGGGTAAATTAGAGCAAAATAACAGCCCAGAACACTGAAGCCAGAACTAGTGGCTGTAAACAAACTTTATGCAACTGCAGGAAACTTGGCCACACCCATGATAAGTGGACATCCGGATAACTAAAATCATGCCAGACCACAGTTGCTGCCAGATCAGAGAGTTGGATTAGAGAGGTTCAACCTTTACTAAGTTAAAGCAGAATCTAAATGACTATATATAATTTAATAAATTAATGGGGTATTAAGCGGTTTTGTGCCTGACAGTAACAAAGCATGCTTTCTGGGGTGTCAGAAAGAGGTCTGTGATTTTGGTTTTTCCTTTTTTTTTTTTTTTTAAATTTCTTCTAATTTTCCAAAACATCTACTGAGTTTTTGTTTCCAGGATTGTTTAGTTTGGGCCTACACTATTCGGTTACCTTCATTTTGAAATACTAATATAGTTCTCAGGATCAGAATAGCAGTTAAAGCAATGTGCACCATTATAGATAAGTTCAAGTAAGTTTGTGCATCGTAAATTGAGCCTCTTTATTTTTAGGGAACCTGTTTGTATTAAGCTCTAACTTACCCGTTCCTGGTACTGTTTTTCAAAATAAGCCATGTCATCTTCTTCAGAACTCCTTAAATTACTAACTTGTTTTCCTGAACTAGAGCCACCTGAAATAAACCAAAACAAATGTATATTAAAAGTACTTATTATTTTATTGATTTCAATTTTTTATAGTTGGGAAAAATTTTCAAATGAAAATTTCAGCCTTCCCAAGGGAGAAATGTCCTATTTTATTTCAAAGCAATTCCTCCAGCCAAGTAAGCAGCACTATTAACTGAATCTGGAATGAAAAGATTGGTATTTTGATGAAAGGACTCAGAGGAGCTACATTATGACTATCATCATACTAGCCAAGGGACATAAAATAAAGCAGTTCTCGCCACACTGGGAGAAAACAATTGCACATTATTACACTGAGTAAATGCATACGCAATAGACAGTCGCAGAAAATGATCTCTTACTAGGAAACAGAGATGGTACCCCAGGGGATATGTAATTCCATTCTTAAGAAGGAAAGAGGTGCAGGAGGACGGATCAAAAGCAAGAAAATCTAATTTCATAATAAGCTAATAGGAGAAATATTTTATAATGCAACAATGAAAAACCTATTATTTTCAAAATCCAGATTACAGAAAAGTTTGTATATTCATTATGTACACATCTCTTAGAAGAAACAATCTTAAACACTGTCATTAGTTTTGAACTCTAATGGACACCTTTAAGTGTTCCTTAATTCATTAAACAGTCAATTTAATACAACATACCCAGTAAAAAGTTAATCTTATATTAATAATACAATATACATTTTGGAAAAAAGCATGGTCAGTTCATTTCACCTGTTAATTGTAAGTTGGCTTGTGCAGAACTGGATGGGCCTTGGAATGCTTTTAGAAATGGATGGTCCATGCCACTACTAGGTGACTCTAGAAATTCAGCAGATGGTGTCCCTAGTTGAAAATGTATTGGTTAAAAAATCAGCTTCACAATCGGCATTAGGAGTCCACCAAGGTGGAAACCAAACATACCTACCAGTTAAAATAAATAATACTGATACTTAGTATACGGAATGAAGAAATTACACATTGTGTATCATCCAGCACACTAGAAGAAAATAGGCGTGATAAAAGAGCTAAAGTAGAGTTTGTAAAAAAATGAAATGGCCAAACTCTGCTCTCACTATTGCCGTGATTGTACTATATAGGAACTATACTGCAGAAAGATCCTGGAGACTGGACCAGGATTTAAAAATACCATTATATGCCAACAGTATTTGAAAAGACTCCAATATCCATAACTACATTACATGGGAGCAGTTCTCCCTGTATTTTTTTCCATCCTTGAGTGTAATGAATTTAACGTACACCAATATGGAGGTGATATGCAACTCATCACCTTCATACTGGTGCACATAACAAAATAAATGTGTGGGGGTGAGGTCAAGGGTTTCTGAGTGTGGTAAGAGGCTCAGGCCTGGGGCAAAGGGTTGGAGTGCAGAAGTGTGAGGACTCTGTTTCGGAGTGCAGGCTCTGAGGTAAGAGGCTTGGGCAGAGGGTTGGGGTGCAGGGGTGTGAGGGCTCTGTGTGGGGCCAGGGATGAGGGGCTCAGGACTGGGACAAAGGATTAGGATGCAAGGGCTCTGGCTGGGGACTCTGGGGTGAGGTTGAAACAGGTGGACTTCAGTGGTGGGAGGTGGGGCCTGGGGCCAGGCTACAGCAGGTAGGTTCCAGGGCTGGAGAGCTCCAGGATCAGGCCATTCTGGCCACAAGAGGGGGGATCTGGGCTAACCCAGCCAATGCAGGTAGAGGGGGTCCAGGCTGCTGCAGCCAGGGTAGGTGGGGGGTCCAGGCTACCAGGCTGAAGGTCAGGTTGGGGGTAGAGTGGCCCCCCACCCTCCTTGCATGGGTGTCTTGAGTGCCTGGATGAAACTTCTTTACTGGTGACCAGGAAAAAAGTATACAAAATCATGGCAAGTAAATTTGGCAGATGAAACAAAAATTGGTGTAGTGGTAAGTCAGTTATACTGAGCAATCAGGATCATTTGGCAAACTGTGCTCTTTCAAATAACATGCAAAATCATATATCAAAAGAACAAAGAATTAGATCACTAATGAACGATGGGGGACTGTACCTTTGAAACTGATTCTGATAAGGAGTTAGAAAACCAAGTGGTACATGAGAGCCCAGTATAACACTGTGGCTACAAAGACCAACTCAGTTCTTGAATATATAAACAGGGGACTAACAAGTAGGCATTTTCAATGTCTTTTTAGAAGGTATGTTCTCGGTCAACCAAAATATATTGGTCTTGATACAGAAATTACTGAATTAAATTCTGTAGTTTCTTTTCTACAAGAATTCTGAAAATATGATCATAATGATTTCTTCTGGCCTTTAAAAATCAGTGATTTGGCGTCTCCATGCTATGGGAAGATTCAGTTTGTCCTGAAACTTAATATTTCAACACATTGTTAAATATGAACATTTAATGGGTAAAAGATCAAAATGACATTTGAAGTCTCCTGCACTTACCTATTCCACTGTCATCAAGTCTCATGTAGCCTTCTGCTAGTGAACTAAAGCCAGTTAATCCTCCCATTGCAGCATAAGGAACATCCTGCCCCACAGGTTTTCCCTGGGCTAAGCGCTCTTGTTTAGTTTCCACAATTGTTTCATGAGCATATGTTGGCTGACCACACCCACAGGTAAAACAGCTGTGAAATCCTGAACATTTGGAACCTAAATTAAAAATAAAAAGTATTCAGAGTTAAATAACGTAATCCATTCATTAGCACAGAAAGTGAAAGAGAGAATTTCCCTGTTGCTTTCTCAAGCACTGCTGATTGCCTTCCCTGCATAAATACCCAGCCGCACTTCCCATTTAGAAGCTCTACAAGAGAAAGGATAAACATGTGGTTAAATCATGGGAATCAGGAGATCTAAGTTCTACTCCTGGAATCAGTCTTCGGAAAATCAAAGGACTGATTGTGGACTGTGCTCCTACAAATTGTCAAACAATTACAATTTGGAGGTAGCTTCAGGTAAGGTAACTGGTAAGATCTACTCCTGTAATGCTCCCCTAAGGGGCAGCAACAGCTCTGAATTCTTAACCTCCCTTGTCAATTGGCTTTAGCTGTTCTGTGTAATGGACAGAGTAACCCAGAAGTAGCAGCATACTGCCCAAAATATGCCGGGCCAAAAATTCATGTATTCAAATCAGAATGGGCCAATTGATCAGTCACAGGTCTGGGACTCTGGCAACCTAGGTTCACTTCCCAGGTCTGCCATGGATTCCCTGTGTGACCTTGGGAAAGTAATTTACATGCACATACATTTTAAGGCAAGAAGAGACCACTGTGATAACTTAGGGTACATCTACACTACAGAGGAAGATTGAAGCTGCTGCTGTCAATCTTCCAGAGTTCAAATTAGCAGTCTAGTTAAGACAGCTAATTCGAAGTGAGAGGGACACTCCGGTCGATGCTGGTAACCCTGCTTTCACAAGGAGTCAGGGGAGATGAAGGAAGAGTGTTCTTCCTTCAACTTCCTGCAGTGTAGACAGCGCCAAAAGTCAAATTAAGGTTCTTTGACTTCAGCTATGCAATTAACGTAGCTGAAGTTGCGTTTCTTAATTCGACTTTGTCCCGTAGTATAGATATGCCTTAGTTTAACCTCTTGCACACTTCAAGCCACAGACACCAACTCCTGTAATAGACCCATAATCTCTGGCTGAGTTAGTGACATCCTCAGATCATGATTTAAAAAATTCCACTTACAGAGAATCCACTATTTACTCTAGTTTAAATGAAGAATGTTAAAATATGTTTATTTAGGTAAGTGTGTAAAGACTGAAAATTTCAGCAGTTACACGTGTACCTGTGGGGCGGAGGCGGTTCCATGAGAGGCAGTTCCCATGGGGCCACCTGACCCCCTCACACACTGCTGCCTCTGTATTAGAAGCGGCAGTAAGTGGAGGAGATGGGTGGCAGTTCCACAGGAGCCAGTGCACATTGGAAGCCAGCTTAAAAACCAACTCCCCACACGCCCAAGATCCCACCTGCCCCTCCAAGCTGCAGCACAGGGGGCAGGAGGGCTGCGTGTAACCATGAAAGTTAACCGATAAGCCCAGGCTCATCAGTTAACCATGTACATGTTTAGACTTTCACTCATTTAAATGTGCAAGTGGCCCATGACCCATGCTGCTGAGGAAAGCGAAAAGCCCCTGCAGTCTTTCCCAGTCCGATCTGGAGGAAAATTTGTTCCCAGCCTCTAAAATGGCAGTTTGACTCTAAGCATGTCTCAAGATCCATTAGCCATATACCTTAGAGAGAATTCTTTGTTGTAACTCAGTTTTCCTTATCTAGTGTCTTAACTCCAGCCACTGGGAATATTTGGTACTAGTAATCACTGATGGAACACATGCCATTTTAGGCAATGTCATCATACCATTCCCCACATAAACTTGTCAAGTTGAGTCAGGATGAAACTAACCCAATTACACTTAAAATAATTTGCTACATGTGATTTACGGAAAATTGAAATGTTACATCAATGTTGTGTATTATTCGGTTAGATATTACTCCCTCTTCTGCGAGCAAAACTGGTTTATGAGGTCCTTCTGTACAAATTATTTCATATACTTCATACAAGTAATTTACTAGCAATCTAGAAATCTAACTAAAATCTCCATCAATATATCATTTAAAGAAAAATGAAAGACAGAAAATCAGTACATAATATAATGACTAACATTAATAATTCCTGTTTTAGGGACAAATCCAAGTCAATTCCGAACTTCCTCTACTATACCATGATTTAACCATTGGTTTGTTAAATCAGTGTTACCAATAATTTTATATGGGGGAACAAAGTGCTATTTTCTGCTAAGTTTAGAAAATATACCTGTATTTAAAAGTTGTGCTGCTTAAGTTAGTTGTAAAGAATACTGCATGTGTATTTATAGGAAACTAACTTACAGGAGTTGCAAGAAAATCCAGGTGCTGCACTGTGCTGATCAGAAAAATGCTTGCATCTACAACGAATGGGCTGAGTCCCATTTAAAGGAACATAGTGATAGGATTTGCACTGACAACGGCTCACTCGACAGGGTAGACAAATAGGACGATCTTTTGGAATCTCTTCTAAATCTGTTTTGTGTTGTTTATACCTAAAAATAGAAGAAAAAAATGAAAAAAATTCAGCATTTAATATTAAAGTTTTCTTTAAGGAATTTATAATTTAGATTTCAAGTTTAATGCAGAGATACATTTCGTTTTCTTATAAACAAAAAATGTGATCATTCTCACAGTTTTCAATATTGTGTGGGGTTTCAAGAGCTTTTTAAGTTGTACTCCAGTGAAAAAATATTGTAGAGCTTTAAATTTGATTTTGGCACCGTTTCAAGTATATATTTTCAAACCATTATATGGAAATGGAGTCACATGCTCATAAACCAACATAATACGCATAAATACTAGTAGATTCAAAGCTCTAAATACTTCAATTTACGCTCTGGCCACAGGCATCTCTGACACAGTCATAGTCCGCAAGCATAAACTTTATTTATGGAACACTACAGAATGATTTCTTCGGTTTCAAAAATGCTTTCTTAAATTACATCAATATTTACATTAAGGATGTGAACAGGTAACCAGTTAACTAGTTACCTGGTAAGCATCACCCTTACAGGGTACTGGTTAACCAGTACCCAGAGCAACCCCCTGCCTGGCGGCCTGCCTTGGGCAGAGGGCTGTTCCAGCCCCACGGGGGGGGGGTCCAGAAGCAGAAGCCAGCTATCCCACGTGGGGGACAGGAGCGAGTGGCAGGGGCAACCAAGAACCTTAGGAACAGTAGTCAGATGCCTGTGTGAAGGAAGGAAGGATGAGGGGGGCTGGGAGCAGGAACCTCCTGCCCCATGCACACCGGCCTTCCTGCTTAATCGGTTAAAGGTTTAACTTATTAACTGAGATTTTACATCCCTACTTTACATCCCTAGATTTTCAAGTTAACTGCTGGTATGACAATGTTTTTTATGAACATTTTACATTTTCTAAGTACAACGAAAGTTCAGTAGCAAGAAAAATAATCTTACCTATGGGTACAAAAACACAGTGTCTCTGGGCCCACAAGTTTACAATCCATGCCAGTTGGTGATCTCCAGCTCACATACAATCTGTTCTGTAATCGAACTGGTAACACTTTTCTTTTGTACTCTTCATATTGTTCCGGGGTAAAGAGTTTCCCTCCATCATCATCACCTACAATTCTGTAACATGTAATTGTGTTTCATAATATTTTAATTACATTTAACTTTTGGTAAAATGAAGGGAGGCAAAGGTAGGTTGCAATTCTGAAAATGATATATAATGATGCACTAATAAACAACACTGATTATTTTATCTTCCATAATAATAGTACCCTAGAGATTATCTTTGCAAGGAACTGTACTCAAAACAAATTAATTTAACCTGGCTTTAGTAGTATGAAACATGTCTCAAGAAGGGCTAAAAGAGAAGAAAGTATAGAGGCAAGCTATCAAGTTTCTTTATATATTGAAGAAAACTGACTGCAGATCAGGAATTCTGGTTTCTTCCTACCTCTGACTCAGACTTCCTGCATGATCTCCAACAAGTCACATCATCTCTGGATAGCAGAGATCCCCAGACTGTGGGACATGACCCCCCGGGGGGTAAGGAGGAACATTTGGGTGCAGAGGGGCCAGGCCAGCCCACACATAGGGCAAGGGGTGGAGGGGAAGCACCAACCAGCCCCACTCCATCCTCAGCTGTGTTCTGGCTCTGCCTCTAGTCCTGTCTCCTGGCCCTGGCCCTGGCCCTGGCCCCAGCCTCACTACAGCTCTGTGCCTGGCTGCAAGCCTGACCCAGCCTTTGCCTCTGGTTGCGACTTCATTCCCAGCCCCATTCCTGGCTCTGCTCCCACAACCAGACCTATCCCCTTACCCCTGTCCGTGTCTCCTTTCCCCCTACCCTGCCGTCCCAGCTCCAGAAGCCACAACCCCACTCCCCTCCTTAGCTCAGACAAGGTCGTGGGCACAGATGGGCATGATCCTGAAAAATCTGGAGACCACTTCCCTTTGGATGCATGTTCACTGCAGAGTTAATTGAATTAACTATTCTGAAGTTCACTCCAGCTTGCATGAGAACAGGCACACCTAGGGATGTTAAAATGTGTATAATTAAGTAATTGTGTAACTGCTGAACATTTCAGCAGTTACATGTGTGGGGCAGTCAGCTTCCCAGGAGCTGATACAGAGGCAGCAGCGTGCGCGGGAGGATACGGAGGGGAAGTTACTAGCAGCCTGCATGTAACCGTAAAGGTTAACTGATCAACCCAGGCCCATCAATTAACCATGTACACAGTTACACTTTCACATCCCTAATCACACCATGAAATAACACTCAAGTTGTATCAAATGATTGCATTAGCAGCACAAAGTGATTGGGTAAGCCAATGGATTTCAACTTTTCCAGACTCTGTATTCCTTCCAGAAATCTACTCTGTCTTGCATATCCCATTTCAACTCACTTGAAAACTACTTGAGTGTAAAATCAGACCTAAAAATACAAAGTTTCAGAGCACATTACTGAAAAATTGCTTACTTTCTCATTTTTTCTGTACAGGTCCACAAACAAGTGGGAAGCTATGGGGTAATTGCCCAGGAGCCAGGGAACACTTTAACCTGCCGGGGCACTCATTAATGGATCTCTATGTTACGGTATTATTTCAGGCCAATTCCACAAGCCAAATACATAGGGAAGGGTTGGAACTTAACTTAATTTACAAGTTTGATTTTTATCAGTGAGGAATAAATAAAGATATCGGCTGTCACACACACTATCTTCCACATCCTAATGATTTAACCAAATAATGGGTACTAATAGAGGTGCAAATTTTAATCAGCCTCTTGTAACCTGAACAATCCAATTCACTATTTTTTTCTTCTTTTTTTTTCTTTTTCCCTCTCCTTCTCCTCCTCGCCTTCCCTTATTTATTCTTGGATCTGGACTTCTAATACTCCAGTCATCTGAAGAAGTAGGTTGTATCCATGAAAGCTCATACCACCATCTACATGTTTTGATGAAAGAGAGTGAGGGAGAGTGAGCAACAGG